CCTTCAAGGAGCTGGGGGTAAGCGCGCCGCGAGTGCCTCCGCCGCCGCGCGCGCCCGCCGCCCCGGCGCCGCCACCCACGCGCGTCCCCGCAGCGCCTGGCGGCCGCGCGCTGCCTGCCCGAGGCCGGCGTGGGCGAGGAGAGCCGGCAGGCGCAGCAGCAGCTGGCGCAGGCGCTCGACGAGCTCGAGCGCCGCAGCTTCCAGGAGTGGAGCCGCGCGCTCGACCGCGACTGCCTGGCGCGCCTCGACGTGCCGCTGCTGGCGCCCAGCGCGCACCGGCCCGGCCTGCTCGACCTCAACTTCGACAAGTGCGAGGCCTCCCGCGCCCGCTGTACCCGCTCCCCGCGCGCCGCCCGCGGCCTCTGCGCCCCCCGCACACCCGCACGTGCTGCACGCTCCTTGTGCGCCACCCACACGTGCTGCACGCTCCTTGTGCACCCCGCACACCCCTGTGTACCCCCCGCGTGCTGCATGTTGCTTGTGTGCACCCCTGCACACCCCCATGTGTCCCCCATGTGCTGCACGCTCCTTGTGCCCCCCGCACTCCCCATGCACCATCGCATGCTCACTGTGCTCCCCGTGCACCCCTGCACTCCCCATGCACCCCCCCATGCTGCACGCTCCTTGTGTGCCCCCCGCACACCCCATGCACCACCGCACACTCACTGCGTTCTCCCAATGCACCCTGCATTCCCCCCTCACGCCCCTCGTGCACCCTGCATGCCCCCTGCACACCCCGCATGCCCCCCTCGCGCTCCTTGTTGCCCCTGCATGCTCTCCTCGTGCCCCCTGTGCACCCTGCATGCCCCTCTTGTGCCCCATGTGCACCCTGTATGCCTCCCTTGCGCACCCTGCGCACCCTGCATGCCCCCGTCATGCCCTCCGTGCACCTGCATGCCCCCCTCTTGCCCCCTGTGCACCCTGCATGCCCCCTCGCGCCCCCCGCGTGCCCCGCGGCGCTGAGCGCGCCCCCGCCGCAGGGAGCTGCTGAAGCTGCTGACGGAGGCGCGGGGCTGGGAGCGGCTGCTCTTCGAGGTGCCGCACTACGTGGCCGAGGTGTACCGGCGGCGCGAGGACCTGCGCGCCCTGCGCCACAACCTGCTGCTCGTCGTGCGCGACTACAACCGGTGAGGCCCTGCGGCGGTGCTCTGCGCGCGGGGGTACCCGTCAGGCGCGCCAGCCGGTGCGGGAGTACCCATCAGGGGTGCCAGCCACGAGGTGGTACCTGTCAGGCGTGCCAGCCAGGCGGTGGTACCCGTCAGGGGTGCCAGCCTGACGCCGCGCCCGCCCTTGCCCGCAGCATCGTGTGCGAGCTGGCGCCCGAGGAGCGGGCGCTCTTCGCCGAGCGCCTCCGCGCGCTCGACAGGAAGATCCAGCCCGGCCTCAAGAAGCTGCTCTGGTCGCTCAAGGGTGCCAGCAGCTGCTTCATCAGCGAGTGCCGCCTGCACGCCAGCAAGGTGCCCCGCGCCCCCCGTGCCCCCGCGGTGACAGGTCCCCCTGCGCGGGCCCCGTGTCCCCTCCTGCAGCGGTGACAGGTCCCCCTGCGCTGGCCCCGTGTCCCCTCCATGGCACCTTGGTCCCCTCTCCCGTTCCCTGCTCTTGCTCCTCCCTTGTCCCCTGCTGCGCTGGCTCCAGGCCCCCTGTCCCACTCCCCGTGGTGGCTCTGGGGTCCCCTGCCATGTCCCCCTGTCCCCCCTTCTGTGGCTCCCTGTCCCCCCATCGCACTCCCTGACACAGCTGCACGTCCCCATGCCAGTCCCATGTCCCACCTGCCAGCCCCTGTCCCCTGCCACCTCCCTGTTGCCCTGTCACCCCCTGTCCCCTGCCACCTCCCTGTCACCCCGTGTCACCTCCTTGTCCCCCTGCCACCTCTTTGTCACTCCCCCTGCCCCGTCCCCTCTGCCATATCCTGTTCCCCTGCAGCTCCTGTCACCTACACCCTCGTCCGGACCCTCCCCGGTGCCAGCGCGTGGTGCCCGGTGGCAGGTGCAGGCGCTGGTGACGGAGTTCAAGGCGGCCACGGTGGCGGTGGCGCGGCTGGCGCAGCGCATGAGCGAGACGCTGCTGCTGCAGCTGCCCGCGCAGCGCCTCTACAGCGAGCTGCAGTTCGCCGAGGAGCAGCGGCAGCACCGCGCGCGCGCCCAGGCCGCGCTGGGCGCCCTGCACGCCGAGGCCGCCCAGCTGCTGCAGCGCGCCATGCTCGTCTTCGCCCGCGACGGCCCCGAGGTAGCGCCCGCGTCCCCCGCGTGGCCCTCTGCGTCCCCGTGTCCCCCGCGTGCGCCCTGTGCCCCCTGCACCTACCTGCATGGCCAGACCCGTGTGTGAGCAGCCACCGCGCGTCCCTGCACGTGTCCCCTGTGTCCCCTGCGTGTCCTCGTGTGTCCCCTGCACACCCCCTTGCTCCTTGTGCCCCTCGTGCACTCCCTGTGCCCCCTGCACACCCTGTACACCTACCTGCACACCCTGCACACCTGCCTGCACAACACCCGTGTGTGAGCAGCCACCGCGCGTCCCTGCACGTGTCCCCTGTGTCCCCTGCGTGGCCCCTCTGCGTCCCCGTGCCCCCCGGGTGCGCCCTGTGCTCCCACGTGCTCCCCACACACCTGTGCAGCCTGCACTGCATGGCCAGACCCGTGCATGAGCAGCCACCGCGCGTCCCTGCACGTCCCGTGTCCCCTGCGTGTCCTAGCGTGTCCCCTGCACACCTGCCTGCACAACAAGGCCCATGCATGAGCAGCCACCGCCCCCCACTGCGTGTCCCCTGCGTGTCCCCATGTCCCCCGTGTGCTCCCCACGTGCTCCCTGCGCACGCCCGCACACTCCCTGTGCCCCCTGCACACCCACCTGCACCACAACACCCACGCGTGAGCAGCCACCGCCCCCCGCCGCGCACCCCCCGCGTGTCCCCGCGTGCCCCCGCGCCCCGCTCCGTGCCCACGCGGTGCCCACGCGGCACCGCCGCAGGTGCAGGCGCAGTGGCTGAGGCAGGCGGCACGGCTGGACCGCATGGTGGAGGAGGCGCTGCGGCTCAACGTGCGCCGCTCGCTGCACGAGCTGGCGCGCGCCGTGGCCGGCGACGGCCGCGGGCCCCCCGGGCCGCTCTTCCGCGTGCGCGTCTTCCTGGCCGAGGGGCAGGGCGAGGCGCCGCCACAGGTGAGCGTCCCCACGGGGGACACCCGCGGGTGTCCCCGCGTGCCCCCGGCCCAGCGGCGCCGTCACCCGGTGCCGCCGTGTCCCCCCGCCCGCGCAGGTGGCCTTCTCGCCCAGCCTGGCCGAGCTGGCCGCCATGGTGAACGACATCCCCGGGCTGCTCATCCTGGCGCTCGCCGCCTTCTCCCGGCTGCCCGAGCTGCTGGGGCAGCGGCGCCCGCGGCGCGAGCCCATCTGCGTGCTCGTGGGTGAGGACAGCCCCGCCTGCGCGGTGGCACCCTGCGCGGGGACAAGCCCCGCGTGGTGACACCCTGCACAGGGACAGACCCCACGCGGTGACACCCTGCATGGTGACAGACCCCACGTGGTGACACACTGCGCGGGGACAAACCCCACATGGTGACACCCTGCGCGGGGACACCTCTGCCCAGTGACAGACCCTGCGTGGTGACATTCTGTGCAGTGACAAGCCCTACGTGGTGACACCCTGCACAGGGACAAACCCCACGTGGTGACACCCTGCGCAGGGGCAAGTCCCACATGGTGACGCCCTGCGCAGTGACACCTCTGCCCAGTGACAGACCCTGCGTGGTGACATTCTGTGCAGTGACAAGCCCTACGTGGTGACACCCTGCGCGGGGACAAGCCCCACGTGGTGACACCCTGCGCGGTGACACCTCTGCACAGTGACAGACCCCACGTGGTGACACTCTGCGCGGGGACAAGCCCCACGTGGTGACACCCTGTGCGGTGACACCTCTGCACAGTGACAAACCCCGCGTGGTGACACCCTGCACGGTGACACCTCTGCACAGTGACAAACCCCACGTGGTGACACCCTGCACAGGGACAAACTCCATGTGGTGACACCCTGTGCGGTGACACCTTGCACGGTGACACCTCTGCACAGTGACAGACCCCACGTGGTGACACCCTGTGCGGTGACAAACCCCACGTGGTGACACCCTGCGCGGTGGCACCTCTGCACAGTGAGAGACCCCATAAGTTGACACCCTGCGCGGTGACACCTCCACACAGCGACAGACCCCACGTGGTGACACCCTGCGCGGTGACACCTCCACACAGTGAAAAACCCCACTTGGTGACACCCTGCACAGTGACAAACCCCATGTGGTGACACCCTGCACGGTGACACCTCCACACGGTGACAAACTCCATGTGGTGACACCCTGCGGGGTGACAAACCCCACATGGTGACACCCTGCACAGTGACACCTCCACACAGCGACAGACCCCACGTGGTGAGACCTCCCTGCGATGGCACCTCTGTGCAGTGACAAACCCCCATGGTGACACCCCCATGCGGTGACACCCTCCCAGGGTGATGCCCCCGTGTAGTGGCATCCCCATGCTGTCACAACCCCGCAGTGTGACAGCCTGCACCGTGACACCCTTGCACAGAGAGACCCCCCTGTGGTGACACCCTACACAGGGACACCCTTGTGTGGTGACACGCCCATGCAGTGCCACCCGCACGCAGTGCCACCCGTGCATGATTACAGCCCCACGTGGTGGTGCCCTTGCCAGTGACACCGTGCGCAATGACACCCCACGTGGGGACAGGCTTGCGCAGTGACACCTCCACATGCTGACAGCCCCACGTGGTGACACCCCACCATGGTGACACCCCACGCTGTCACATCGCCATGTGGTGACACCCACCACAGTGTCACTCCCACGCGGTGACACCCCACACAGTACAGCCTCCACACGGTGACACCCCACCACGGTGACACCCCATGCCGTGACATCACCATGCGGTGACACCCCGCAGAGCGCGACGAGGAGGTGGCCAAGCTGCGGGCGCAGATTGCGGCCGGCGTGCAGGCGGCCGCCGCGCAGCTCCGCGGCTACCTCAAGACGTGGGCCGGCTACCGGGAGATCTGGGAGGTGGACAAGGAGGCCTTCGTGACCCGCTACCGCCACCTCGACCCGCTCGTGTCCTCCTTCGACGCCGACATCGCCCGGTCAGCCCCCGGCCCTCCCGCCCGCCGGCCTCCTCCCACCCTGGTGGCCCTGGCCCAACCCGGTGGCCCTGGCCCACCTCTGTGCCCTGCTCCTGCTGGCCCCGTTCCTGCTGGCCTCTTCCCAGTGTCCACATCCCGCCCTGGTGGCCTTGTTCCAACCCAGTGGCCCTGTCCCAACCCAGTGGCCTCCTTCTGCTGGCCCCGTTCCTGCCCAGCATTCTCCTCCTGGTGCCCCCATCCCGACCCGTTGGCCTTGTCCCAACCTGGTGCCCCTGGCCCAACCCAGTGGCCTCCTCCTGCTGGCCCCGTTCCTGCTCGCCTCCTCCCAGTGGCTTCCCAGTGTCCACATCCCACTCTGGTGGCCTTGTCCCAACCTGGTGGCCTTATCCCAACCCAGTGGCCCTGTCCCACCCCTGTTTCCTGCTCCTGTTGGCCCTGTTCCTGCCCAGCAGCCTCTTCCCAGTGTCCACATCCCGACCCGTTGGCCTTGTCCCAAACTGGTGGCCCTGTCCCAACACGGTGGCCTTGTCCCAGCTTGGTGGCCTCCTTCTGCTTGCCCCCTTCCTCCCCAGGGACCTTCTCCCGCCATCCAACCCAGGTGTCCCCATGCAGCTCTGGTATCCCCCCTAGCACCCATTGCCGGCCCTGTGTCCCCAGCCCAATGTCCTCCACACCGTAGCCATCGTCTTGCCTTGGTGTCACCTCTGCGGTGGCTCCTGCCTGGCCCCGCTCTCAGTCACCATCCCCACCCTCGTGCCCATCACCTCGTGCTGGTGCCACCCTCAGTGTCCCCGTCCCCGCGCTCCTCACCCACCCCTCGTCCTCATCCTCGTGCCTGGCCCCGTGTCCCCGTGTCCCCGTGTCCCCGTGTCCCCGTGTCCCCGTCCCCGTGCTCCTCACCCACCCCTCGTCCTCATCCTCGTGCCCAGCCCCGTGTCCCCGTGTCTCCGTCCCCGTGCTCCTCACCCACCCCTTGTCTTCATCCTCGTACCCGGCCCCGTGTTCCCGTCGCCATGCTCCCGCCCCGCTCTGTGTCCCCATGTCCCCGTGTCCCCGTGCTGCCGCGCGTGTCCCCGTCCCCGCGCGGGCGCTGACGCCCCCGGCGCACGCGCAGCTACATGGAGGTGGCGAACAACGCGCAGAAGGAGGAGACGGTGGTGAGCGCGCACGTGGCGCTGCTGGACTGCGGCGCGCTCAAGGGCGCCGTGGTGCGGCACTGCGCCGCCTGGCAGGGCCGCCTGAGCGCCCTGCTGCACGACATGGCGAGCGCGCGCCTGCACGGCCTGCACGCCTACCTGCGCGACAACGCCTGCGCGTGAGCAGCCCCCGCCACGCGTGTCCCCCGCGTGTGCCCTGCGTGTGTCCTGTGTGCGCCCTGTGTGCGCCCTGTGTGCGCCCTGCGTGTCCCCCGCGTGTCCCCTGCGTGTCCCCCGCGTGTGCCCTGCGTGTGCCCTGTGTGCGCCCTGCGTGTCCCCTGCGTGTCCCCTGCGTGTCCCCTGCGTGTG